TGGCCGTGCTAAATTGCCCCATAGTGCCCAGGGACGTGCAGGTTAGGCATGGGAAACACAGGGTTACAGGGATAGGCTAGAGGGATGGGTCTGGATGGGATGCTCTTCCAATAACCGGTGTGGACTTGATGGGCCGAATGGCCTGCACCCACAGTGTAGGGATTCTATGCTTTGTGGAGACCTCTCTCTCACACCCACAACAGACTACTCAGACATTACAGTTTTTGAGGAGGTGTTTGAATCAACTGTTGATAATAAATGTTGCCATTCGATTGAACAGCAAGTATATTTATATTCAGGTGAATAAATTAAAAAAGCTACAACCATTGGTCAGAATATTTGAGTTCTATAATTTTTGTCAGTTAACAAGAGTGCTTGCTGTATGTCTACATAGATGTGTACATCTAAATTAGGAACAGGAGTAGGCCTCCCTGTCTTTGCAATCATTTCACCATTCAATAAGTTCTATTCAGTCCACATTCCTCCTACTGTTGGCATTTCACTCCCTCGCTTAACAAGAATCTAAGAAGGGGCCCTCTTATTGTACAGTGGCAGTGTCCCTACCCCTGGACTGCAAAGTCTGGTTTCAAATCCCACTTTTCTCCAGAGGTGTGTAATAACATCTCTGAACAGGTGGATTAGAAAAATAGGTAATATGGAAAAAATACAAGAATCTCAGAAGGGGCCCTCTTGTGGTACAGTGGTAGTGTCCCTACCTCAGACCAAAAGACCTGGGTTCAAGTCTCATTTGCTCCAGAGATGTGTAATAACATCTCTGAACGGGTCAATTACGGAAAAAAAAGGTGAAAAGAAAAAAGAAGTCTAAGAAGGGGCCCTCTTGTGGCACAGTGGTAGTGTCTCTATCTTGGAACTGGATGTCTGCGTTCAAATCCCACATGCTCCAGAGGTGTGTAATAACATCTCTGAACATGTTGGTTAAAAAATAAGGCTAAATAGGAAAAAAACAAGAATGTAAGAAGGGGCCCTCTTATGGTACAGCGGTAATGTCCCTACCTTGAACCAGGAGGCCTTGGTTCAAGTCCCACTTGCTCCAGAGGTGTGTAACAACATCTCTGAACAGGTTGATTGAAACAAAAAGTTTAAAGAAAAGCAAGAATTTAAGTGTCTCCGCTTTAAAATATTCTGTTTCCATCCAATAAGAGATTTCAATGGGACTCTGTGAGAAAGAGTTCCTCTTTATCACTGTCTGAATTGGGCAAACATTTTATTTCAAAACAGTGACCCCCTGGTTCTAGATTCCTCAACAAGAGGAAACATCCCCCTCCCCACCATCCACCTTGCCAAGACCCTTCAGTATCTTGGGTTTCAATGAAGGTACATCTGACACTTTTAGACTCAGCAGTCAAGCCTGTCCAACCCTTTCTCATGAGATAACACACCTATTCCGGGGATTAACCTAATAAATTGTCTGTGAACTGCCTCCAAAGCATTTACATTCTTCCTTAAATAAGGAGATCAATACTCTATATAGAACTCCGGATGTGGTCTCACCGATAGCCAGTATGACTCTCGTAATCTCCCGTATTTTTCTACTCAATTGCCCTCGCAATAAATAATTACATTCTATTAATTTTCTCAATTACTTGCTGCATCTGCGTGTCACCTTTTGGAATTCATGCAGGAGGACGCTTTGATCCCTCTGATTCTTAGGAGTCCTGCAATCTCTAACCAATGAGATAGTAAGGAGGAGATGGAACGTTTGGTGTCATGGTGCAATGATAACAATCTCTCTCTCACAATGTTGGCAATGCTAAAGAACTGCTCGTTGACTTGAAGAAGAAAGGAGGAGGACATGCCCCCATCGACATCAACGGAGCTGAGATGAGGAGTGTCAAGTAGTTTCTCAGATAATCAACATCCTGTCCTAGACTGCCCAAATAGATAGAAGGCACAACAACGCCTCTTCTTCCTCAGGCGGCTCAGGAAATTCAACACGTCCATAAGGACTCTCACCTACTCTTACAGATGCACCATAGAAAGCATTCTATCTGAACGCATCACGGCCTGGTATGGTAACTGCTCTGCCCAGGACCGTTAGAAACTACAGGAGGAGGTGTGCACAGCCCAGACCATCACAGAAGCCGACCTTCCATCCATGGACTCCATTTACATGGCTCGCTGCCACCGAAAGGCTGCCAACTTCATCAAAGATCCCTCCCACCCCGGTTATAATCTGCTACAACCTCTTCCATCGGCCAGAAGGTACAGAAGCTCGAACACACGCCATAACAGATTCAAGAACAGCTTCTTCCCCGCTGTTATTAGACTTCTGAATGGACTCTCCAACTTCAAAGAATGTTGAATAAAAACTGAAAGAACTGCGGATGGAGTAACAAAGACGGAAGTTGCTGGAGAAGCTCAGCAGGGTCTGGCAGCGTCTGTGAAGAAAAAAAAAGTCAGAGTTAATGTTTCAGGTCACAGGACCATGTAGAGTCACGGGACCTGAAACGTTAACTCTGATTTTTTTATTCTTCACAGACGCTGCCAGACCCTGCTGAGCTTCTCCAGCAACTTCCGTCTTTGTTTCAAATAATGTTGACCTTGCTCTGCCCACCTCCTGCCTCACTCTGTCTAACTGCCCTATGCTCTGTACACCCTTGTTTGCTATGATCTGCCTGTAACTGCTCGCAAAACAGAACTTTTCACTGTACTTAGGTACACGTGACTACAATAAATCAAATCAAGTCAAATATTTGATTTGGTTTAATTTATTATTGTCACATACAAGATACAATGAAAAGTATTGCTTTGGGTGCTAACCAGAGGTAGTATAAAATGTTGGCGAGGCCTTTTCTGGAGTATTGTGTCCAGTCCTTCTCACCCTGTTATTAAGCTAGAAAGGTTCAGAAAAGATTTACCGGGAATGGAGGGTTTGAGTTATAAGGAGAGGCTGGATAGGCTGGGACTTCTTTCACTGGAGCGTAAGAGGTTGAGAGGTGACCTTATAGAGGTTTATAAAATAATGAGAGATATAGACAAAGTGAATGGTAGTGTCTTTTCCCTATGGTGGGGGGATTTCAAGACTAGGAGGTATATTTTTAAGGAGTGAGGAGAAATATTTTAAAAAGACATGAAGGATAACCTTTTTACACAGAGGGTGGTTTGTGTGTGGAATGAGCTTCCAGAGGAAGTGGTGGATGTGGGTACAGTTTCAATGTTTAAAAGACATTTGGATAAGTACATGAATAGGGAAAGGTTTGGAGGGATATGGGCCAGGAGCAGGCAGGTGGGACTGGTTTAGTTTGGGATTGTGGTCGACATGGACTGGTTGGACCGAAGGGTCTGTTTTTGTGCCGTATGACCCTATGCCTCTATGAAATCCTACCTTACATAAGTACATTAGGGTAGTAGAACAGAATACAGAATGTAGTTATAAAGAAGGTACAGAGAAAGATCGACTCTAATATATGAGAGGTTCATTCATAAACCTGATAACAGTGGGGAAGAAGCTGTTCTTGAACCTGTTGGTCCGTGTGTTTAAGCTTTTGTATCTTCTGCCCGATGGAAGAGGTTGGAAGAGAGTATAACCGGGGTGGGATGGGTCTGTGATGATGTTGGCTGCCTTCCTGAGGCAGGGGCAAGTGTAGATGGAGTCAGTGGACGGGAGGCTGGTTTGTGTGATGGACTGGGCTGTGTTCACAACCCTCTGTAGTTTCTCATGGTCATGGGCAGAGCAGTTACCGTACTGGAGTGCCATGCATTCAGATCGGATGCTCTCTATGGTGCATCTATAAAAATTGCTAAGAGATTCTTGTGAAATCATTGTACTTTGTTTTCTATTCTTCCTGCAGTACAGGGGGCAGTTTCATGTTTTTCCCACATGATGCTCCATTTGCCCATTTATTTAACCTAACTACATCTCTTTGCAATCTTGTTATGTCCTGTTCACAACTTTACGTTCTCCCTATGACTGTACGTTTGCCAACCATATCTCCAATCCATTCATCCAAGCTAAGTTATATCCATTGTCAAAGGTGACATCCCAGCACTGGTCCTTGTGACATCCCACTCATTACTTCATGCCAACTAGAAAAGAGACCCATTTCTCCCTACTGTCTAATTTCTGTCCACCTAAATTTTTCATCTACATCAACTTGTTATCCCCTACACCATGAGCTTTCGATTTCTCCAATGACCGTCCCTAACAATGTGCGTCCCTAACAATCACCTTGGAGAAATGTAGACACAGTATTATCAGAGGGATATACCTCTCAGGGACAAGGGCAGTAGATATCGTGGCACAGTGGTTAGCGCTGCTGCCTCCCAGCACCAGGGACCCGGGTTTGATTCCACTCGCGGGCGACTGTCTATGTGGAGTTCGCACGTTCTCTCCGTGTCTGCGTGGGTTTCCTCTGGGTGCTCTGGTTTCCTCCCACAGTCCAAAGATGTGCAGGTTAGGGTGTATTGGCTATGCTAAATTGTCCATAGTGTTTGGGGATGTGTAGATTAGGTGGGTTATATGGGGATGGGTCTGGGTGGAATGCTCTGAGGTTTGGTGTGGACTTGTTGGGCTAAAGGGCCTGTTTCCACACTGTAGGAATTCCATGATACATGGGGAACACAATCCCCTGCATGTTCCCCTCTGAGCCACTCCCCATCCTGACTTAGAAATATATCGGCTGTTCTTTCAGTGTCGCTGGGTCACAATCCTGGAATTCCCTCCTTATGGGACATTGTGGGTCTACCTACAGCAGGAGGACTGCAGCGGTTCAAGAAGGCAGCACACCCCCACCTTCTCAAGGGGCAATTAGGGATGGGCAAGAAATGCTGGATGCCCACATGCCACAAAAATGAATGAATAAATTTTAAAATCCTCCGATTTCCCTTTTTGCATAATGCACGTTACTTCATCGAAGAACTTCAATAAATTGCTCAATGAACACAATTTTCCTTTCACTGAACCATGTAGATTCTGCCTGATTGCCTTGTGTATATCTATGTGCCATACCATAATGTCTTCAATCATAAGTCCTAACATCTTACCAGTGGAATATCCCCGGGGGCAGGGAGTGGAATGTTTCATGATGGGGAAAAAAAAATGACGAAGTTCTGTGACTATTAACCCTTACCTTTCGGGACAAAGATGTTCGCCAGGTTAAAGCTCCCAGCCAGGATAAGCGAAGTTCCTTGTGTGAACCTTCTTCCAATGAGGCTCATGAAAAGAAACGCGATCACTTTAGCTGGAATGTCGACAGCTCCGAAAATGATCTGGATGAGGTAAATATTGACCCCAAATCCTTGCAGGTCTATCGCTAACCCATAATATGCAAAACTGGTTGAGAACCTGCAGCGACAAGGAGAAAGATCAGGATCAGCATTCACTTTAATTTTCCTTACAGGTGTGTGCTTCCGAGGTCTGCATAGTGCAACGTGCGGATCAGACATCAATGCTGTGATGATGTGCCAATGCCAGTCAACATGTGTGGATTAGGGTCATAGAGTCATACAGCACGGAAACAGAGCCTTCGGTCCAACCAGTCCATGCTGACCATAGACCCAAACAGTCTGCTCCTGGCCCATATCCCTCCAAACCTTTCCCTATTCATGTCCTTATCCAAATGTCTTTTAAACGTTGTAACTGTACCCACATCCACCACTTCCTCTGGAAGTTCATTCCACACATGCACCACTCTCTGTGTAAAAAAAGTTGACCCTCATGACCTTTCTAAATCTTTCTCCTCTCACCTTAAAAATATGCCCCCTAGTCTTGAAATCCCCCACCCTAAGGGAAAAGACACCTGCCATTCACCCAATCTATGCCCCTCATGATTTTATAAACCTCTATAAGGTCACCCCTCAACCTCCTACACTCCAGCGAAAACCGTCTTCATATAACTCAGGCTCTCCATTCCCAGCAACATCCTGGTAAATCTCTTCTGAACCCTCTCCGGCTTAATAATATGCTTCCTATAACAGGGCGACCAGAACTGGACACAGTGCTCCAGAAGGGGCCTCACCAACGTCCTGTATAACCTCAACATAACGTCCCAGCTCCTATACTCAAAGGACTGAGCAATAAAGGTGAGTGTGCTAAACTCTTTCTAACACTGGGGCAGGCTTCAAACAAATGTTGATCAGAATATGATCTGACCAAAATTTCCATGGCTGCATTTTCCCTGCATCTTTTTTGTTGCAATCTGTTGTAACATTTGAGTTGATTTTACTTGATTTATTATTGTCACATGTACCGAGATACAGTGAAAAGTAATGTTCTGAATGCTATCCAGGCAAATCCTACTTTACATGAGCGCATCAGGGTAATAGAACAGAATGCAGAATGTAGCGTTATGGCTACAGAGAAGGTGCAGAGGAAGATCAACTCTAACATATGAGGGGTCCCTTCATAAGTCTGATAACAGCAAGGAAGAAGCTGTTCTTGAATCTGTTTGTACATGTTTTCAAATTTTTGTACCTTCTGCCTGACGGAAGAGATTATAACTGGGGTTGGGAGGGGTCTTTGATTATAGAAACCCTACAGTGTGGAAGCAGGCCATTCGGCCCATCAAGACCACACCAGCCCTCCAAAGAGCATCCCATCCAGTCCCACCCAATCCCTGCATTCCCCATGGCCAACCCACCCTAACCTGCACAGCCCTGGGCACTATGGGACAATTTAGCACGGCCAATCCACCCTAACCTGCACATCCCTGGACACTATGGGACAATTTAGCACGGCCAATCCACCCTAACCTGCACATCCCTGGGCACTATGGGACAAGTTAGCACAGCCAATCCACCCTAACCTGCACATCCCTTGGCACTATGGGACAATTTAGCACGGCCAATCCACCCTAACCTGCACATCCGTGGGCACTATGGGACAAGTTAGCACGGCCAATCCACCCTAACCTGCACATCCCTGGGCACTATGGGACAATTTAGCACAGCCAATCCACCCTAACCTGCACATCCCTGGACACTATGGGACAATTTAGCACGGCCAATCCACCCTAACCTGCACATCTTTTGGAAGGAAACCGGAGCACCCGCAGGGGAACCCATGCGGACACGGGCAGAACGTGGTGAAAACTCCACACAGACAGTTGCCCGAGGGTGGGATTGAACCCGGGTCCCTGGCGCCATGAGGCAGCAGTGCTAACCACTGAGCCATTGTGCCACCCATTATGCTGGCTGCTTTTCTGAGGTAGTGGGAAGTATAGTTGGAGTCAATGGATGGAAGGATGGCTTGCGAGATGGAATGGGCCACATTTACAACTCTCTGTAGTTTCTTGCGGTCCTGGGGCAGAGCAGTAGCCGTGCCACACTGTGATGCATGTATCTATGATCTGGCAAAGCTATATCTTTAAAACAGCAAAGTGATGATGTTTCTGTGACATCATGCCATGTGACTACTGTCTCATATTCAGGAACGCGTCCTACCTTCAGTGATGCTTCTTTAGTCTGTAACCCGTTAGGGGCTTCATTTTGTGAATAAACCTTCTGATATTTGTTCTCAGTAAGAAGCCTGTCTCAGCACACATTAGGAGAGGTGATGGCCTAGTGTTATTGTCGTTGGACTGTTAATCCAGTGACCCTGGGAACCTGGGCTCAAATCCTGCCACGGCAGATGGTGGAATTTGAATTCAATTAAAAATCTGGAATTAAGAGTCTAACGATGACCAATGAGTCAATCGTCAGGGGAAAGACCCATCTGGTTCACTAATGTCCTTTAGGGAAGGAAACTGCCATCCTTACCTGGTCTGGGCCTACATGTGACTCCACACACACGGCGATGTGGTTGACTCTTAACTGTCCTCTGGGCAATTAACGATGGGGCAATATGTAAAAACTGAAAGATGCTGTAAATCAGGAACAAAAAGCAGAAGTTGCTGGAAAAGCTCAGCAGGTCTGGCAGCGTCTGTGAAGGAAAAAAGTCAGAGTTAACGTTTCGGGATCTGGTGATCCTTCCTCAGAATGGGACCAGAACACCAGACAGGTCTGAGGAAGGGTCACCGGACCCGAAACGTTAACTCTGACCTTTTTCCCTTCACAGATGCTGCCAAGACCTGCTGAGCTCTTCCAGCAACTTTTTGTTGCTTATTGGGACAACAAGTGCTGGCCTAGCCAGAGATGGTCACATCCGTAAATTAAACAAACAAACAACAGAACACATCCCGATCTGCTATTCAATCATGGCGTTAGCTTCAGAACGACTAGCCTTAAATAAACACCTCCTCTGTATTACACATGATTTCAAAAGAGGGTCTCCACAGAGCAACGCAAACTTAACGAGTGGAATAAAATGGGAGGGAGTTAGTCCGACTCTCATGTTCCACAGGCCCAGCTCCTTTCAACACAGGCCCGATCAATGAAGTTTATTGACAGCAATAAATCAAGAGGTTGCTGAGCAAGGACGATGCAGAAGGTAGGTCGGAGTTTTCCTTGCAACATTCCACCACTTTCTTGGATTTCTAACTGCTTCTGACCAAGAGTAGCTACAAAACATTGAAGCCAGGGTAGGGGTCAATGGCAACACGCTGCCTGTTTTCTAATAGCTGTACTTACAATTCCTATCGCTCACAATTGATCCAGTTGCAAACTGGTCTTAAGCCAATCTTTTTGTTTTACATTCATTCACGGGATGATTTGTTCCAGCATTTATTGCCCCATCCCTAATTGCCCAGAGGGCAGTTAAGAGTCAACCACATTGCTGTGGGCCTGGAGTCTCATGTAGGCCCAGACCAGGTAAGGACGGCAGTTTCCTTCCCTTACTGACATCAGTGAGCCAGATGGGTTTTTCCAACAATCCGCAGTGGAGTCATGGTCGTCATTGGACTCTTAATTCTTTATTGAATTCAAATTCCACCATCTGCTGTAGTGGGATTTGAACCCGGGTCCCCAGAGAGTCATCGAGACTCTAATACATCTAGGGATGTATTACTGAGGCTCTGGTCAGACCACATTTGGAGTATTGTGCGCAGTTTGGGGCCCCATATCTCAGGAGCGGGTTCAGGGGAGGTTCACGAGAATGGTCCCAGGAATGGAAAGCTTAACCTATGAGGAACGTTTGAGGACTCTGGGTCTATACTCAATGGAGATTAGAAGGATGAGGTGGGATCTAATTGAAACTTACAGAATACTGAATGGCCTGGACAAAGTGGATGTTGGGAAAATGTTTCCATTGGTAGGAGAGTCCAGGACCCGAGGGCACAGCCTTAGAGTAAAGGGAAGACCTTTTAGAACGGAGATAAGGAGAAACTTCTTCAGCCAGAGAGTGGTGAATCTATGGAATTGACTGCCACAGAAGGCTGTGGAGGCCAGGTCATTGAGTACATTTAAGACTGAGATAGATATGTTCTCGATTATCAGGGGGATCAAGGGTTACGGGGAGAAAGCGGGAGAATGGGGTTGAGGAACTTATCAGCCATGATTGAATGGCGGAGCAGACTCGATGGGCCGAATGGCCTAATTTCTGCTCCTATGTCTTATGGTCTTATGGAAACGTTAGCTTGCTCTCTCTCTCTACGGACGCTGCCTGACCCATTGTGATTTACAGCAATTTTTTTTGTTTTCCCCGGAACGTTACCTGGGTCTCTGGATTGAGAGCCCAGTGATAATATCATGAAGCCATCACCTCCCCTCGATCTCCCATCTCCTGGTCATTTGCCCCATCTGCCTTTCTCAAGGGCAAGAGGGCTGCCAGCTAATCAACATTTCCTCATCTACAATTTAGCTCGGTTTTCTCCGCTCATAGTCAGAAGTGACAAGCTTTTTTGAAATCACAAGCTTTCCGTTCGTCAGGTGATGCGGGACTTCAGATTGCGAATAAACCCCGTTGGACTGTAACTGGGTTTCATGTGACTTCTGACCTTGTCCACCCCAGTCCAAAACCAGGACCTTCACATCATGGGTTCTCTGCTCATGAGCTGAAGGACTGACCCCTGGATGAGCCACAGAGTGGGTAATAAGTCCCTGGTATTCTGTTGTTATCCAGCGACAGACCACCCTTGGCTCAGTGGCGAGACTCTCACCTCTGTAGGAATAGTAGGAAACCATGCAATGATTGACTCAGTTTAGTTATAATCACACATTTAAAGGTAACGATTTATAGATCAGTCTACTATTACAGTATTTTGTTTAACAGTAGCCAACCAAGATCTTAGTTCTCTCACATCATGACGCAGGTAGACAGGGCGGTGAAGAAGGTGTTTGGTACACTTACCTTTATTGGTCAGTGCATTGAGTATAGGAGTTGGGAGGGTCATGTTGTAGCTGTACAGGACATTGGTTAGGCCACTTTTGGAATATTGCGTTCAGTTCTGATCTTCCTGCTATAGGAAAGAT